TATTAAGCTTTGAACCTAATTTTCAAATATAAGCACTTAGGCTTCACCTGAAAAATATGCAGGCAGTCTTCAGTGGACACTTATATGCAGGCTTATGCTTTTATGTAAATACGGTCTGCATGCCCAATTTCCCATTAACACAAGGTCACAAATTAAGTTTCTTATGTATTTGCGTAACATCAGAACATGGATTGCATAGTACTGCTGATTGCATGAATGCGCCTATTCAGGGTTCGTATGGGCTTTGTGGCTGTATACGAGTGTTGATAGTCACAGAGACAGGTCGAAGCAGTAGATGCTAATACAGGAATTTCCCATATTTGCAAATACTGATAGGTTTTAAGAGGGAATTTTGTCTAGCTTCTTGATTGTTTTTTCCAAACAAAATTTTCTTTAAACTTTTTCCCCTTTTTAATACTGTTTTTTAAATTGTAGTTCTAACTATACTTTGACAGCCGTCTTCACAAAACGTTTTGCCAAAGACAGCATAGAAAAGCGTATGTAGTAGTGATGCTATTGATCTTTATAGACATTAAGCTTGCTAATGCTGCTGTGCAATAGGTAAAATAGTACATTAATTTTATAGATGGGCAAATGCTTTAATTTGTTTTCCCCTCTCAATTTTTCCAAGTAACGCTGTGAGTCAATAAGTACTATTATCCGTGACTCTGGAGCCTATTAAATAAATATATTTCATGCACATGTGTGTAAGATCATTATATACGTATAACCAGCTCATCTGTAAGTGGCAACTAGAAACAGAGATTATGCGATTGCACGTGAATTAAAATAAGCTGCGTTGTCCAAAGTCTCCGTCAACGATCTGATGGGTGAGGGGCTGCAGGGATGCCTCGTGGTTGTGTGTGCAAGGGATGCCCGAACATCACCCACATGGGATTCCTCCTGCCTGTTCCCCAGCTCTGGGCTGTCGTCCCCAGCCTGACTGACGGCATCTCCACGTCAGCAGCAGCTTTGAGTTGAACGAGGAGAAGCCTGGGTCTCTCTTCCTCCTCCTGCTTCTCCTTCCTGCTCTTGGATGCTCTCGGTGGAGTGTGACTGGGGAGAGTCCGTCTTGGGTGGACTCTATGGGAGAGAACTGTCAGCACACTTTCTTTGGATCAGGAAAGGTTGGATTATTCACTATTCAAGCTGAAGTTCTCTCAAAAGCTTTTAGTTGAATGTGAATAGCTTTTAGCAGTATTATTAGGCAACTTCAGCATATGCATTCTCAATAAAGGAGAGAAGAGGGACGAGGCAGAACTACCAGGTTTTGGGTTTCTTTTAGAAGGTGTCCTATGTGGTGACATACCGGCTATTTTAGAGTTGAAATTTGAAGAGAACTCATTTGGCACTTGTAGTATTTTTCCAGAGTCTGATTTTAATCAGCCAAATAACTGAAACCAACTCCTCCCAAGAATCCATCATAAAACCTAGTTTCTTACTCAATATGTTTGCTTTCTGAGCTAGCTCCTTGGCCAATTTTCCAATGGAAGATTGCCTGTTTTTCCCATGAGAGCAATTCCCTGAGCATAAGTGAACGCCCAAGTGAGATGAAGCTTATGTGCCAGTGTCTGTTATCAGCCTGCACTTACTGCGTGGGGCAGTTTAAGGATGAAGGAAACCGGCAGAGACCCCGCAGCCACTTTTGACCACCACGTGAGAGTTCCCCAGCGTTGGGTTACCCAAGACTGATGCTCCAGTGATGCGCGCAGGACTGCGTGATGGCATGAGGCTCTTGTGGGAAGAACTGCATGGACATTAGGTGATGGGGCAAATCCAAGAACTCAGCATCGCAGCCTTTCTCCTGCTCCAGGACGGGATCCTCATCTCCTGCGCTCCCTCGGTGAGATACAGGCGGCCCAGCAAAGGAGCGTACATCACATCAATGAGCCTCGCACCACGTGCCTGGGTTTTGACAGACCTAATGTGGGCATGGAGATGCACAGTGGTCCCTAAACTAGACCATAAACTAGTAGAAATCAGAATACCCCTTAAACTGCTGTGATTTAAACCTAGAGCCAGTCTTTTCTTCTTAAAATCCTGGGAGTCACTGTAGCAGAATAAACTGCACCAGTGACTGAAATCTCTCTACCTTTTCCTCAAATATTCTCTCTTTCCCAATGAGGAGTTGCTTATACTTCTCCTAGACCTTATAAACATGACATATTTACATGAGAATGACTTGAATTCTCCTCTACCTCATGTTTTACCAAGAAAGCAAGGTTCTAATTTCTTATTGCAGTGTCTTTGCAATGCCAAATAGTATTTTAAGGGGCAGAAATAACAAAGCTGAATCATCAGATCACAGTTTGAGTTTCTGATCTCAGTTGGAGTTTTAGGGGCAGGCACTTGTAAGTCAGACAATTACTCTTCTAGAAGAATTTTAGTTTCTTGTTTGTTAAGGAAACACTGGAGAAAATACGATACTTTCAGGATGTCTGAGAGTATAATAGTTCAACTGCTTATGAAGAACAGCCTGCATCGACTTGATGCCCTTCCCTGAGATCATTAGGACTGTTACAGGTGCTAATCAAACTACCCCCAGGAACTTCGTTTTAAAGAGGCAAAAAAGAACAAACCGAGAAACAAAAATGTGTCTTCATCCACCAGGAACAGAACAACTTTTTTGAAGGTCTCAGTCAGGTAACTTCACCCTTCCCTCTGGATAAAGTCTCATTTTTTAAAGGTACTTTTCCAATCCATCAGTTGGATGTGGAAGGCAGAACACAGCTGGTATCAGGGCTGGCACCGCAGGGCTATCGCTGCTGCGAGGGAGGGACGTGGGAGAGACGCGATGCTGGGTTCAACTACGGCGAAGGGCTTTGCACCCCCAGCCGTCACCTTCCCTTCCCGTAGGAGGCACGAAGGGCTGGTGTCTGCCGCTCCGCGACCAGCTCCTGGTGTGTGACGTTCATTTGAATTGGAGACGTGTAGATGAGTCTTCACTCTTGATTAGTGAGAAGAGTGCTCGTTGCGTTAGGTCAAACTGTGTCCTCATTTATGTCTGTGAGCCCCGCAGGAGCGAACGTGGGCAGCCCAACCTCGTAGGGTCACGCTGGTCTTTTGTCGCCTCGAGAGTGTGTATTGTGTAAATCTGGTATTTACCGTCTGACTGTATTTTATTCAGGAATCAGTCAAGAGAGATTTGTTTAACCAAACCCAGTCAGGCTTTCACTATTGAGGGGGCAACGTCTACAGAGTACGGCATTTGTAGTCGGCGTTGAGACAGTTTACGGTACAGATTGTGTTTTGCCACCTTTCTGCAAAAGAGCACCGCTAGCTGCAAAACCAGAGGGCACAGCACCGTATGGCTCCTTTCACAGCACGGCTCCTGGAAACAGTCTCAAATTTTATACGGCTCATTGTCAGTGGATGGCAGTGATGTACCCTGCCTCTATTCCTGATACGTTAGTAACACCAAGGCTGGTAATGCCGGAGCGTAAATGTGCTCTGTGCACGCTCCGTAACCTAAAAATCTGTTGATCGTTTTGAAAAGCTGGATAAAATGACTTAGTCAATTTAATTTAAATTGAAGGCAGATCTTTAGTGTGAGATTTGTTCATTTTAGTTCTTCCAGTTATTTAGGATCTCCGTACCATATCGGTCCAACAAAGGTCTTAAAAATCAAAATTTGAATGGTAGGACTTTTGCTGATAAAACTCTGATAAAATTCATTCCCACCAGCAAGTTTTTCTTACGAGGGTTGGAGCAGTGCTTGCAACACGTATTTTAGGGTTAAGGATTTGGCCAGAGGGCAGAGTGATCGTAGAATACAAAGGCTGCATAGTTTTCAATTAGAAAACGTGTAAAGCTAAACTTCATGCAGAGACGTTTCTTGCAAGCACGCGTAATTTCTGCTCTTACGTGGATGACTAGAAGTGTGTATTTAGCCACGCAGGTTATTAAATGCAACTCAGTTAATGGCATTTTCCTTCCAGAGCTCTCCCACACCACATTATTTCTTAGTGGCATTTAGTTCTCTCTTTCCACGGTACCAGCCACCCTCGAACAAACACGGGGGAAGAGATCGCCACCAGCCGCACACGTGTTGATCTGCTGCGAGGGAACGCAAATAAAACTTCCTTAGGGTTGCATGACGGTGCTGCCTGTGAAGTGGGGTTTTGGTAGCCAAACGAAAAAACCCTCGTTCATCGGATTTGGATGCTTATTATGCAGCTTATTAGTAGAAGTTTACATAGCTTCGGCTACTTTTCTTACAGGTAATAATAGGAATTTTCAACCTTCCCTGAGCTCTTAGCTGATGCGCAGTAGAAATCAGCGGAAATAATTTGCATTTTTGTTGTTTGCTGCTTTCAGTCAAACCTAAAATATCTTCCGTTAATTCCAGTCACACTTAGAAGATAATAAGTTTTAATTTTGATTCTGTTGCCAGAATCGCTGTGGTGTGCTACCCCTCCTCAGCACAGTGTGTAAGCTAAATGGGAACGTAGAAAATGCTGCCTTTCTATCAGTAAAGCCAAAAAATACTTTATGCCTGTTGACGTCATTTCAAAATGATTGAATGTACTCTTTTTCTCATAAATGCTTCCTAATTTTCTGTCCAGCCGTGTTGCATTGGATAATTGTAATCAATTAAAAATCTGACAAGCTACAACCATTCTCTCATTCACTCTGAAACCTGAGTGTTTTTTCCAGAGGTCAAAATTTACTAAGAATAAAACGAGAGAGAAAGATCTGCTGGAAGTACCAGTTCTCTGTAAGGGCTATTTACCTGCATAGGTTGAATTTATTTAGCGAATACAGTGATGACAAGAATAAGAATCACCTATGATTGCAAATCTGTAGTAAGATTGTCTTAACTTTTTAGAAAGCCTTGCCTTAGGATGGGGGGGTCAGATGGGAAAATTCGGGCTGGGCAAGTAAAAAAAATAACAGAAATGCAATCTGAATTTTTGGGAGGAGGCAAAAGGAGAGGGGCAGCGGTTGTTCTCGGGTACCCACTCATTTCTCAGTGTGTGTCTCCTGCTCTCTGCCCGCAGCCCCCTGCTCGCCGTCTGTTTTGCCGCTTCCTGCGGAGTCCCCGGGATCGCCCTGCTGACGCTGGGAGTAAACCCTCTCACCGGGGCCCTGGGAGCCTTCAACATTTTCTTGTACACCTGTTGTTACACACCCATGAAGAGGATGAGCATTGCCAACACATGGGTGGGAGCCGTTGTCGGTGCCATTCCCCCCGTCATGGGCTGGACTGCGGCTACCGGTAGTCTCGACGCTGGTGAGTATAAACCCCTTTCATCCGGGCGAGTGGCTGTGAGCCTTGCCTTCAGGATGGCTAGAAAGACCTCCAAAGGCAATAAACCTTGTTCTTTACGCTTGTTGACCTGATACTGCTTCAAAAGCAGATCTGTTCTGCTGTTGGCAGTGCCAAAGTCCGTTACAGCGCGGTGCCCTAAGGACTGAAGAAGTGGACATGATTGTATCATTCTTACAGGGCATACGTGAGCTGATAAAAGACCATGTGCTTTTGAGTATGTGTTTAGGCCATCTTAAAAAAAAAATCTAGAAGGAAAATAGCATCTTTCGGATTCACATGGAAGAAAATGTTATGTAATTTCAGGATTAAAACCATACCCAGCAAGATCTGACTTACAAGTCAGGAGCTTTCAGCTGGAAAATTCCCAGATGTGTTTATTACTGTCTTTCCACAAGCCAGAAAATATCCTAGGAAGATTAATTTATTGGTGTATTTCTTAATTGCCCACTTCTAAACTCTGAGTTATAAATGTTCCTTCCCCCTCTCCTTGAAAAGCAAACGAAGATTTTTGGTTTAGTTACTGTGAACTGGTTTTACATCCCTCATAAAAGACTGATCTCTTCAGCAGCTAAACTCCGACACAAATAGGGCTTGTTTTTCCTGCCAGCTAGAAACTTAAGAATCAAAGTGGCTCCACATAGTTATATTCTGAAGCAACTAATGAAGTTCAATTAACAGGTCTGGTAAGAATTGTTTTAGCACACACTCGTCTCACAACGTGGCATATTTCAGGCTTGAATAATACTTTCAACAACAAGGCTTTTAACCAGAAATTATCTGAATCTGTGCAAAATCCATAGCACGCTGTTCTTCATTTATGCTACACGCTTCCTATAAAAACCAGTCTGAATTGGCTTTGTGTATGCGGGTTCTGATACAGATCTAATCAGAGCCAGGATGAAGGGGGTTGTGGGGGTTTTTTCAATTATGTGCTACTTCTATACAAACATTTACTTCTCTGTAAGTTTTTTTTTTTATATTTAGACCTATAAATGATCTGTACGTATATGTGTAGTGTCTCATGTTAAGGAGTGCATAACAGACATCATTAAAAGCCCATTTCTAAAGAGAAGAGAATGAATTAAAACCACAAATTGTATCTTTTTAAGGACTGTATCATTCCGGCTGCAGATGCTTAGACCTTGGATCTTACGTTGTTTAGAGATTTCTGCATTGGTTTTGGCATCTCTTTGCAGAGTTGATGCTAGAAGATGACTCTCATGTGCCCGTGCTTCACCTGCAAAGTCCAGCCTGGAGGAGCTGGAGCGTACAGCTCTGGCTCATCAAAAGCCCTTGCTGTAGAGGTTGTCACGGTACGAATTTTCACCCCTGGTTTTAAAATGGCAGCTAAACTGCAGCAGCTAAGGCCCAGCACGTTAAAGTAAACTGGCACTGATTTTCAGTGTCTTGAATTCATCAGGTTACAACTTGCTCTTCGAGACCTCTTTTGCAAAGAGCTAAGCTGTCCCTGTACAGCAGGCAGGGCAGGCAGCAGAGAGCACCATCTTTGTCCCAAGTCTGATTTGCAACTGAGATGTGGTTACGTGTCCCTCTGCCAGCTTTGCTGTGGAGGGGATCATCTCTGGCAGCGATGCCGTCGGTAGAAGGTGATAACTTGAAACTACCCGAGCAGACTTTGCCGGAGCGTGATGATCTGAGCTGGTGCGTAACCTGATGTTGTATTGTTTGGTCTGAGTGGCTAAAATTTCCTGCAGTCACCTCCCAGTCTGTGCCAGTGAGGCCAGCGAGCTTGTTTGATAGCGAAAGAAATGGTATTGAGCTGAGAATGATCTTTGTAGTGAAGCATATCTGGGGAGAGTCCTGAAAATGGAGACCTGAATGGAGTATTTTAGTGCATTTAAAAAAAATAACAAAAAAAAACCCTAATAAAATCCCCGCAAACACCTTTAAAAAGAAAAGCGAGAAATAGAAGAAAAGGATTGCGCTGCAGACTATGATTTTCAGTGTTAAACATTCTACTATTGCAAAGGAGAGGAGAGTTCAGCACCTGGCAGCGTCAGACCCGCTCAGCGTACATGCGTGTGTCTGCGTGCATGCATACACGACGTGCAGACCTGCATCCCTTCTCTGACCAGCCTACCCACAGTTGCTGAACTCATTAATAATGTGTAATTAGCTTGGAGACTTAACTTAGTTTTAGGTAGAGGTGTGAAAATGCATTTGCACCTCGTTTAAAAAAAAAAAAAAGATTGATCATTCCACTGAGTAACAAAGAGGAATGTGAAGGAAGGGAGTTAGAAAACTAATGAGTAGGAAGGTTCTCACCACTTAACCGGTGGGTTTTTTTGAGTTTACATTTTCCTGTGGATTTGCTCTCCTTGTAATCTTCTCACAGCAGCCGCATTGTTGTGCACGTTGCTGGTTGT